ACACACACACACACACGCACGCACGCACGCACATTCACACACACACATTCACACACACACAAAGACAAAGACAAATATACCTTCAAACTCCTGGCCTTCTCGTATTTCTTGAAATCATTGACCCCCTTCATCCGACTGTGGGCGTTGAGCATGACGTATTTAATGTTGTCACAGATGTTCTCTGTCCATGAGGCTAGCCAGGACACCTTATCGTCGTGGCGGACCTCCTTCCACTTGTGCCCTGCGGGTGGCGTGGGAGGTTTCACACCCTGGCCAATGTTGATACATATGTCCTCTGGTTGTATACGTGCCTGTGAGAGCAGTGAGTGGGTGTATAGGGGTACCTTTCACGTTAGTGTCTCGTATAGATTGGTTCCCATGGTGATTGGTTCCCATGGTGATGCATATGGTTGTCCTCGTGCCCGTACGTGATGTGAATAACCATCGGTTTCGCATTCGACCTTATCTTTGATTATATTATAGTAGAAAACTGTACCGCTATTATTCATGCAACTCTGATAATTACGCTGTTCATGTACAAGTCTTATGTCAGCAAATGCGCGAGTAAAATATGTACGTAAACAGGGACATCGTATCAGTGAGTTAAGGAAGTTCAACTATCTTCAGGCGAGGTCGTGGGAAAAAAGCACAATATTCGAAGCAAAGGTCGCTGTCAACGATGTCACAGGCAAGCCAATATTCAACGTAATGATCGCCAGCTAAGCTAAAGTACTAATACATATTAATTCCGCTTCGCCGTTACCTCACTACGGAACTGTTTATGCAACAGACAGTCGTATATTCAACACACAAAACTTTAAATCCACTACAGTATTAACGTAATGATTACGTCCTGACTCCACTTCAACGTTACCTTGATACGGCCCATTTTGGGATGGTCGCCTCTGCCACGGAAAAGCCCCGGAGGTTCCACCATGAAATTACCCACTCGTTCTTTGTGCCCATCTACGCATCCATAACAAGCCACAACGAATGCCAGAAATTAGTACGTCGATTAAC